CCACTGTAGAAGAAATTGCAGCCAAGATACCTGAGGCAAAAGTGTTCACAGTCCTTGATGCTAAAAGTGGGTATCTCCAGATAAAACTAGACTACGAGTCCAGTCTACTGATAACGATGAACACCCCAATTGGCAGATACAGATGGTTTAAGCTACCATTTGGAATCAAATCAGCTCCAGAGCTGTACCAAAGGGCCATGGATGAAATGTTGGAGGATATTGATCATGCATACGCCATTATGGATGACATACTCATCACTGGACGTGACATTGCCCACCATGATTCAGTCCTTGAGGCAGTTCTCAACCGCGCCAGAACCTACAACCTTAAGCTGAACTTTGAGAAGGTTAGAGTACGAAAACAGCAAGTTCAATATGTGGGCCACATTATCTCAGCAGAAGGCCTGAAACCAGATCCAGAAAAAGTAAGAGCTATGAAGGATATGCCACCTCCTGAAACGAAAGATCTGCATCGGTTTCTGGGATCTATTCAGTATCTGGCCAAATTCCTCCTAATGCTAGCAGAAGTCAAAACACCACTGCAGGAACTAACCAGAAAGGATGTACTTTTCCACTGGGACAAGCCACAAGCAGCTGCGTTTCAGAAGCTTAAGGATATGTGCTGTGAAGCTCCAGTGTTAGCCTACTATGATGTCAGAAAAGATGTGACCATACAATGTGACACCAGCAAGAGTGCAGTGGGTGCTGTCCTACTGCAAGAGGGAAGGCCAATAGCCTATGCATCCCGTAAACTTCAAGAATCAGAGCTCAATTGGGCGCCAATAGAGAAGGAAATGCTGGCAATCGGGTTCAGTACTCAGAAATTCAGGGAGTACATTCTGGGAAAAACAACTTTGGTCCAGACTGACCACAAACCCCTAGAAATGATACTGCACAAGTCCATGGCAACAGCACCATTAAGATTGCAGGCAATGATGCTGAAAGTGAGTGGCTATGATCTAAAAGTGGAATATCTTCCAGGCAAGAAGCAAGTCCTCGCAGACACCCTCAGCCGAGCAAGTC